GTTCGGCGTGACTTTCGAGTCGAGTCTATATTTGTCACGTTTTCTCTTTTTTAGCCCAATTTCATTTTTAGTCGCAATATTGCAAAAATATCGGTTAAACTTTTCCTTGGGGGTTTCTGTTTTTTCGACTTTGCAGCGTACGTTCCAATGGATCTTGTCAAGAGAAGTCCAAAAATCGAGGTACGGAATCTAGGAATTGATTCGTTGAAAAGTTGTGCGCGTTCAAAGTTGACGAATTTTCGGGGTTTTCTTCTCTAATAGACGTAAGTTAATGAGCGGCGCCGTTAGATGGCAGCACGAGTAACGTAGACCAGCAGTGGCTATTTTAATTCTAAAATAATTAATAAATTAAGATTGTAATTCTAAAATAATTAATAAAATAATATCCTAATTGTAAAGCAATTAATAAATTCTAATTCTAATTCTAAAATAATTAATCAATTCAAATTCCAATTCTAAAATAATTAATAAATTCAAATTCCAATTCTAAAATAATTAATAAATTCAAATTCCAATTCTAAAATAATCAAAATTGAAATTCTGGATGCTTAAATTTTACTGGATACTTATACTTTTTAACAAATGAATTCAGAACTTATTTTAATTACATTCCTGGATTCACACACACACACACACACACACACACACACACACACACACACACACACACACACACACACACACACACACACACACACACACACACACACACACACACACACACACACACACACACACACACACACACACACACACACACACACACACACACACACACACACACACACACACACACACACACACACACACACACACACACACACACACACACACACACACACACACACACACACACACACACACACACACACACACACACACACACACACACACACACACACACACACACACACACACACACACACACACACACACACACACACACACACACACACACACACACACACACACACACACACACACACACACACACACACACACACACACACACACACACACACACACACACACACACACACACACACACACACACACACACACACACACACACACACACACACACACACACACAGGACTTCGATTTTTGAACTTTTCTCGACAAAATCCATTGGCACGTACACTGGAAAGTCAGAAAAACAGAGACCCCCAATAAAAAATTTAGCCAAAATATCTCGTTCTGTTAATTCAGCCCCATAATCGAGGAATTTGTGCATCACGATATTTTCAACTTTTACTTTACACATCGGAGAAAATACGATCCCTTGAAATTTCTTGATCCATTGTTAATTTGTACGCAAAGATTGGTATTTCCTGGTTCCGAGTTACTTTTCGTATAAAAAGATTGGTCTATAGAGGGTTAATTCGAACGTTATTCTCACGTTCGCGTCGCATGAAAATGATATTGTTCTCTTCGTGAACCAAATCTTGATTGTTAGCAGTGTTTCAACAAATTATTTTAGAAAAACTGTATCGTAGCAGTCAATCGTTCAATAATGATCCCAATTACGTTGTATCGGAAAGAATTTTAATCATTCTAGATCGCACAAATCTCGGTAAAGCTCAGTTCGCCGAATCAAGAGTAGTTTAATGATTCACGTGACAGTCAACTTGCTAATGCAGTTGATGCAGCAATGCAGTTGATAATGATTGTTATACACTATTAAACACAAATCTTATTCTTTTCTTCCAAATCGAAACGAAACCCGACTTCTTCCGTCGCCGAAGCCTAAAAATGAAAGTAAACGAAGGGTACGCAAGAAACAAAAATTGTCCCACGTCCTGAAATGGATTAAGATTGAATTAAGCTTGAATTAAGATTGATTTAAGCGCTGAATCGCATGATCAACGCAGTCGCGATAGAAATCGTAGCGCAAAGGGTTGAGCTTCAAGCGAACATCGAACGACAAATTTCGACATCAATTTTTTTATCGATCTCCATGGACATCATTTGAACGATCGAGACGATACCAAGCTTATGGAATGTTTCAGCGAAACGAAATTGAAACTCTTGTCCGTTGTCACCATAATTTCCATAATTTTAGTCTAGTAATTGAATCGTCGCGGACAGATGAACCGTGTTACTGGACCTCTTGGCATTCAACGTTTCTCGATTCTCGATCTTTATGCATGCCTGCGAGGGCCGTCCAGGCCTGCTGCAAGCATTTTATCGGATGTTCGTACGGAGTTCAATACGCCAGAGCCGACTAGAGAGCAAAACGTTTTAAGAACGTGGCTCGCGCTACACGCACCGCGAGTAATTAATTAATTAATCGTCGGATCGAAATGAAACGCTCGATAACACATGTAACATCGTCGATGCTCGGCAAACGATTGAACTTCAGTTATTTGGAAATACACACACAGTGGCGCATAATTGTGTTCGTGCATCTTTTAAAACGCGGGGACTTTTTTCAAAATGGACTGAGTGACTTGTACCTTTTTTTAGATGACTGAGCGACCGGTCTATTAGATCGTAATTAGAATGCTTCTTTTTTTAAATTTTGCTATAATAAAAACTCTCGTTTTTTTAGCCTTTTTTATCTGAGCCTACAACGAAAATTTAACAAATGTTACGAGCTGTAAATAATAAAAGATCGCAAGAATCGCAGTTTTGACACGCGATTTTTGACACTTTCGACCAATAAGTGTGAGAAATTTGCAGTTTTTGGAATTCTTTAACGATTGTAACTCAAGTTACAATCAGTATATATAATATAATAATATTATAATAATATTATAGTTATAATAATAATATTTTTTTTATTATTATTATTATAATTTCAATTATTATTATTATTATTATTATTATAATTAATAAATTATAATAATAATAATCAGTATATATAATATAATAACTTATATAATAATATAAGTCAACTTTGCGTTAACCGATATATCGACGAAATGATTTTTTAAGTTAGCCTCGAATGAAAAAGTTAAAAAACGAGAGTTTTTATTTACTTTTGTCATTCCTATTTGGAATTTACAAAATTGTCTAGTATAGTATTATATTTCATAGTATACCTCATATAGTATATCTCATTGTTTAGTATACTAGTCCCTCTATCACCTAAAAAAGAAAAGAAAATTCAAGTCACTCGATCCACTTTCAAAAAAGTTATTGCGTTTCGAAAGGTGTACGAACACTTTTGGGGGGCACTGTATCCGTTTGTACTATCTACGAAAAGAGAATTATTACTATGATATAAACAATGATTGTAGTTCCGACGAAACAATTGTACGAACCTCGACAGAGCTGGTTCAACGAAATCCTGTATCAGATAATTTGGTCATTCCCTTCGTTACTTTGTCAGTTTCATTCGAATCGTAAGAATTGAACATTTACGTAAGAATTGAATAGCGACGAGTATATTCTTGCGAGAAATTCCGTCAACGCGATTCTTTCTCGCTCCGACAATGAGCCAACTCTCGTGCATCGTTCGAGATTTGCAATTCTTCTTCGACGATCACCGCTCGTTCGGTTAATTTTTCATAAAACGAAGGATGCGATTGAATAACGAGGACAGATTGGAAAAGAAGTCAAAAATTCAATTTTTATATTGACGTAAATTTTAAAATCTGCGCAACTAAGAAGCAAGTATAATTTACGAAGGAACGTGTCATATGCAAAAGCTGATGTAAACAATTTTTCTATTTTTTCGAATCTTCCGAAAAAATCAAGAATAATTCTTAGGAAAATTATCGCAGATTTAATACAAATGGTGTCACCTTCCAACGTCGACGTGGAATCTGCGTTTGCTTAAAGTTTTATAATGTTATAATATATAATAATATGTACTGCATATTATAATATATATATATATATATATATATATATATATATATATATATATAATGTAATATTATAATATAAAAATATA